TTTCCCTGGCATCTCCGGGACTCATTCTTGCCTTGATCTGCAATGGGTTTGAGCGCAAAGAAATGAGTTTTTACCCTATGCATAGCATACATGAAGGCGGTGTTCTCTGGTTTTCCTTATTCTGGGAAGCTTCCCTGAGGAGCCGTTTCCGGTTTATCAAGGTCACGCAACAGATCTTATGTAAATTACTTTCTCTTTTCAGATCTCACTGCCACAACAAGTTCACAGCAATGGCTTCTGTTTCGCTTTCTGAGTTTTGCTGGTTCAAAATTGTTCTTCTTCTATGCATATTTAGCCAAGGAAGGGTTCCAATGGCGTCTTGTGAGCTTGTGCCTGCAATGTTTGATCCTGAAACGAAGCAAGTTATCTACAATCCAGGACAAACTCGTACACAGAAAAAAGATTTGGTCGTGACAATAGCGCAAGACGTGAAGACGGAAAAAAGCAGTCGAACAAGCAAATCAGAAAGCTTTGGATTAAATCTAGGGTTTCAAAACAGCGGCATCCCTTCGTTTGGAGTGAATTATCAAAAGATTAAAATTAACGAGCAGCGACAAGAAAGCCATCATCAGGTGAACATTGTTATTAACATACCAAGTGATTGTGACGAAGGCTGCAAGAAACACGCTGATAAAGTATTTCAGCTGGCAAATGACGCTCTTTACAGTGATGCAAAGCAAAAACGTCTCAACTGACGAAACTTGCAACTTTTGGTCAAGGTGGAGACTAAGGCAATACAGTCGCGTCGGTAGATAAAGATGCATGACATTTTCAAAGGGTTTTGTTCACCGAAATTTCGCTTTTACAATAATGAAAACCCCTGCGGTATAACAGAGACAAACTTTTGAAATATCACGTAAACGATTCAAACAACACGGTTCGGATGAATGGAAGTCAGGTCAGACTTTTGTCCCACAATTTTACAGATTCAAGGATGTAATGATACAGTACTAATTCCGGTTGGTCTTGTGTTGCTGATCACGTGAAGTCGGATTGCATGTGCATTCGCATAAACGTGTCATAAACGACACTAATTTGTTGAGGTTTATCCCATTTGGTATCAAGTGTCGTTTACAATGTCAAAGTCATTCTCACTTGTAACATAGGTTTCATTTGAACAATAAAATACTGCAGCCCTGTTTTTTCTTCTTAGCATTTGAGTTGGTAAAGACCCGACGAAATACACGGCTTCGTTAAAATTATCTCGACTACAGAGCGAAATTAATGACAAAAACTAAAACTTTATGTCCGGGTAAC